CGGGCTCGACGCCCTCCGCGCCGAGGCCGGCGCGACGTACCTGGGCGGCGGGCGCGGCGAGGCGGACCGGCGCGCGTGGGCCGACGAGGGGGCCGACGCGACGGCCATGCGGGAGGGGTTGGTTAGAAGCACGGCGGACGCGATGCGCGGCGACCGCGCCGGCATGGGCGCCGCGTGGGAGGCGAGGGTTCTGGCGGAGCCGTGGGGGTTCGAGCTGGGGGAGCTGGAGGGGGGCGGCCGAGGCGGGGAGGCGGTCACGTTTTGGCACGGGGAGGATGATGTCAACGTGCCGGTGCACATGGCGCGCAGGTCGGCCGAGCTGGTCGCGGGGTCCGGGCTGAAGGTGTACGCGGGCGAGGCGCACCTCAGCACGGCGCTGAGGAGCGCCGACGAAGTGCTGGGGACGCTGGTCGGGCTGATCAGGAAGGCTGGGGAGTGATGGGGGTGTTTTTTTTTTTTTTGTTTTTTTTTATGAACCCCTGCCGTGTGATTACCAACTTGCTCACTCGATATGTAATGGAAATGTCAACAAGCCTCTTGCCCCCATCACCTTCAAGGGCGTCAGGAGCTTCGGGCCGTGATCCCCGCGAGACTTTGTTTAGTGACTCTCTCTACTTAGGCGGCCGTTGCCAAAAAGGGTGATTCCGATGGCGGGGGTGGGCGGCCCCGCTCGGATATAAACTGTGTATGGACTGTGCCGTGGCGGTGTGTTGCTCCAGACCGAGACCCCTTCTTTCCCCAGAGTCACCAGGCTTCCCGCCAAGTTTCCCGCCTATTCCCGCGTATATTCCGCCACATGGTGTGCGCAAATGCACCACTGACTGGCTGGCCGATCCTCGATCCTCACTGCCGCACACCCACCCGGCTAAACACCGGAACCTCGCACTCATTCCCGTCCGCTGCTCGGATGATGGAAGTGCTCGTGTGAAGTCGTCATATAAGAGAGCATGGAGACGACCCGAGTTCCTTGTTAGTCTTTCATGCTATCCTATCCTAGCCCTGGCGACGCAGAAGCTCGATAATGGCTACTACCACGACTCTCCAGCAGGGGAACGGATGCGGCACGCCCATCGAGCTTGAGGGCTTCCCGCCCCGGCCGTCTCCTCCCAGCGAGCATCATGCATGGGGAAAAGGCACGCGGCTCGGGGACAACGCCGACAACAAGGGCAGCAACACCCCCGCCGAGCGCGACCACGACCTGCCGCCCCCGGCCACGGCGCCGGCCGAGGCGCTGCAGCGCTGGAACCAGCCCGGCGTCAACCGCTGGCGCGTGGCCGCCGCCTTCTGGGGCTTCATCGTGTGCGGGTCCAACGACGCCGCCTACGGCCCGCTGATCCCGCACCTGGAGCGCTACTACGACCTCAACTTCGTCGTCGTCTCGCTCGTCTTCCTCTCCCCCTTTGTCGGCTACACCCTGTCCGCCCTCATCAACAACCGCGTGCACGTCTGGGGCGGCCAGCGCGCCGTCGCCGCCATCGGGCCCGCGGCCCACCTGGCCGCCTACGCCGTCGTGTGCGCCCACCCCCCCTACCCGGTCCTGGTCGTGGCCTTTGCGCTCGCCGGCTTCGGCAACGGCCTGCAGGACGCGGCGTGGAACGCGTGGATCGGCAACATGGACCGCGCCAACGAGGTGCTGGGCTTCTTGCACGCCTTTTACGGCCTCGGCGCCGTCGTCGCCCCGCCCGTCGTCACCGCCATGGCCGTCACGGCCGGCCTGCCGTGGTGGACCTTCTACTACGTCATGATCGCCATGGCCGCCGTCGAGCTGGCCACGTCGGTCGCTGCGTTTTGGCGCGCCGACGCCAAGGCCTACCGCGACTCGCTGGCCCGCGGGGACTCGGATGGAACGCGCGGGGCCCTGCGTGAGGCCCTGTTTAAGCCGGGCTACGCCCGCGTCACCTGGCTGGTCGCGGCTTTTCTGCTCGCTTACGTCGGCGCCGAGGTTTCCATCGGCGGCTGGATCGTCAAGTTCATGATCGACCAGCGCCAGGCCGGCGCCTTTGAGTCGGGCATGTCCGCCATGGGCTTCTGGCTCGGCCTGGTCGTCGGCCGCGTCGTGCTGGGCTTCGTGACGCCCAGGCTGGGGGAGAAGCGCGCTGTTGCCGTGAGTATTTCTTCTTTCCTCTTTCTCTTATATACTCTAACACGCAACAGTGCTACATCGTCCCCACCATGGCCCTCCAGCTCGTCTTCTGGCTCGTCCCCCAGTTCTACGTCTCGGCCGTCGCCGTGTCGCTGCAGGGCTTCTTCATCGGGCCCCTGTTCCCCGCCGCCATCGTCGTCGCCACCAAGCTTCTGCCCAAGCACCTGCACGTCAGCGCCATCGGCTTCGCGGCCGCCGTGGGCGGCTCGGGCGCCGCCGTCGTGCCCTTTGCCGTCGGCGCCATCGCCCAGGCCAAGGGCGTCGCCGTGCTGCAGCCCATCATCCTGGCCATCTTTGTCGTGCTCTTTGCCGTCTGGCTGTCGCTGCCCAGGATCGGAAAGAAGCGCGAGTAGAGCGGAAGCTGTGGTGAGCCGCCGCCAAGATTTTGTCATGTTTGGAGGGTTATGTGCTGGTTATATTTAGCACTTCTTTCAGAAACTGCCAGTTTCGTATGTTTTGTTTGACCCATGTTCCAACTCGGACGCCGCTGCATGACAATCTAGAAGAACAAGTCCATCGTACTTCTTTCGCCTTGGTTACCATCTGCGAGGGAAAGAAAAAGGAAAAACCCACCACGACCCCTGCGATCCCCAGTTTCAACCCTCCTGTTACCCCCCTGTTACTGAATGGGTTTTTCCTCTTTCTTTCCCTCGCAGATGGTACCTGCCCTTTTGAGCTTAAACCTACTCCTGAGCGTTGGTTGGTACAATTCCCGTCATGTTACCCGACCCATAGACATATAGCCACGCACAGTCCGTCTGTTTGCCGCGCTCATGCCACGCCGCTGTCAGAATCCATGTCAAGGTTTCGTTTCCCAGATTCCAGGCACGGCGTCCAGGGGGCAGCCGCCCCACCCAACTGCCAAATGCGGCAAATTCGACGCCCATTGACGGCTTGATGTGCTTCATGCTGTTGCAACACTGTTTTCAATCCTTCCCAAACCGAGGCGAAACGAACTTGCCAAGCCAGCCGTCGCTCTTTTTATGCCCAAAAGCATGGCCACCGTGACCGTGATCCAGGGACGACAAGCGGGCTTTGGGGACGAGCAATGTCGGGTCCTTAGTATTGGCCGTTTTTTTGGCCCTGCTGCCCCTGGGGAAGCCTGTCCTCTCCAGGGTCGGGAAACTCAAAATCCGAACGACACGAGATGCGGACTTGGCGATGGCAGATGCAAGAGTGCCGCCAGGTGGTGGCCAGATCCAACATAAATACCGCCGTAACCAACCTTCCATCCATTCCGTTTCTCTTTCCCTCCCCATCCACCTGGATAGCCTCGATCTCTTACAAGTCTTTTCCTTACCGTTTTTCACTATTGTCTTTTTCCTTTATTGTTCCGCATTATCTCACGTTCTACTATACAAACCAACAACCACAACAACCTTCTCACGTCGGCCCAGCCAAACCCAACCGCAAGACTTAAAAGAGCATAAACCCCAGTCCAGACAAGATGCAGCTCAAAGCCTCTACCTGCTGGCCGCTCCTGGCCGCCGTCATCTTCAGCCTCACCTTCTGCCGGACCGCCGAGGCCGCGCCCATCCCCAGCGCCCCGGAGGTCGCTCCATGGTGCCAGCCCGGGGAGAAACTGTTCTCCTGCGAGGCCAGAACCAAGCGCAGCACGGCCGTGGAGCCCGTCATCGTCTCTGAGCAAGCCGCCGCCGCCCCCTCGCGCCTCAGCGCCCGCGACCCCCAGTGCCAGGACCTGGGCTTCGGCTGCGTAACGCAGTGCGACGACGGCTTCAACTGCCGCAGCGTCGCCAGGCCCGGGCCCGCCAAGCGCCACGTCATCGAGGAGCACGCCGACAGCGAGAAGCCCGTCCCCGAGGGTGCTTCCGCGCGCATGATCACCCGCAGCTCCTAGTGTCGGGAGGTGTGTGATGATAGCCAAGATCAAGCCCCCCCAAAGTGAACAGTACCATAGGATGGGGAACTAGGGGGGAAGCTGTGGCGACATTATGTCGGGGAAAGAAAGGCGACCAAGCGTGAGGGTTGCTTCTGGCGATGATGCGAGCATTGTCGGTTTGTTTATTTGTTTAGTTATGACCATGAATATATATATGCACTTCTTTATACCCACGCGCGCCGGTTGGTGCATCGAGAAGATGAGACATTGCGTAAACGGAGTTGATTATTGCAAAGTAGCCAGTCAACTGTAGTACATAAACAGACACAAGACGGCTACATTTCTCATCATGAGGAGCATCAGGTCGAGGCAGCATTCTTGGTTGGTATACCGGCGTGCTGCGAACGCCATCTCTCGTGCCTGCCCCGTCCATGTACCAAATTTTACACCTGATATTGTTATCCGTTTCGCAACCCAACTATCAACGCATCGGAAAACAAAACCAACCCCAACACTGAATGCCCTTGACTGTTTGTCAAATCGGTGAATCGAAACAAATAATTGTCAGGTGCCGAATGGCTCAGATCAAACATGCATGTGCATCATTCATCGTGGTTACTCTGCTCTCCTCATCGGGCCGCCAGATGAGCCCGGGCATCAGGTCGGGGATGGTATATATTTTTTTGTTTGCAAAGGGTCCAGCCAGACACAACAAGCATTGAACTGTGTAGAAAGAGCCCATCTCCACAGCACCAAAGACCTGACAGTCCCAGTCGCGGCTGTCCCACAATCACCTCTCATCATCTTCTTAGTTTGAGGTATTGAGCGGCCTTTTCCCAACTTGCCTTGTCCGCCCCAGACAACTCTTTCTCGGGGAGGCTCTTGACGCCGCTGGCGACAGCCTCAAAGAAGGAGTAAAAGATCTCGAGGTCTTCGTTGAAGTGGACAGCGTGTGGCATGAAGTTGGGTGGGAACTCTTCGATGCGCTGGCGTCGGTCTTTGGCCGACTCTCCGACAATGACCTCGTCGAGAAGCGTCTTGACGGCAATACCGAAGGCGATATCCGGGTCGTTGATGAAGGGGAGCCTGGTGGGAGATGAGTTAGTTGACTGATGTCCAAGACTGATGCCCAAGACGGATGCCCAAGCGACTCTGGTAGCTGCTCACCTGTTTGCAATCTGCCATGCGTCGTCCCGCTCGCGTTGTGCCTGCGCAAACATAAACATGGAGGCTATGATGGCCTCGACAAGGTCTCGGTTTGCGTCGCGAACGGTCGAGGCCAGCGAATGGAAGACTAGGAGCGTCTTGTTGAGAGGCCCCGTGTAGCCGGTGGGCAGGTGGCGCAGCTTGAGGAGCGTCGCGACGCGGCTGAGCAAGAGGAGACTGCCCTTGTCGTCCTCGGTGCCGTTAAGCGGAAGCCCGTGCGACTCCTCTACCCGCTGCTTCGTGTGCAGCAGTCCGTACCTGATCATCTCGAACGCCATCAGGACCCCCTCGAAAAGACCCTCAAACTCGGGGTTCTGCTTGGCCACGGGCTGGACCGCCGAGATGGCCTGAGCAACCGCCTGACCCCACGGCGTCAGCTCGTGCGTGTCCGTCACGTAGCCGCGCAGGTGCATGAACCTCCAGATGGCGATCGACACGATCACGTCGGCAGAGTCGAGCGACGCGCCCTTGATCCTATCCTTGGTCGACGTCACGTTGACGAAATCACGGTTCTTGAGCGCCAAGACCTCAAACACAATGGACCCAGAGTCGGGCTTGGGGAAGTGCGACCTGAGCGTCGTGTCCGTCACAAGCCAGCTGGCGGCACGTAGGCTGGGTGACGGCTGGAGGTTGCTGTAGTTAACCGTGTACGAGAACTTGTCGTCAAACCACACCTTCATCACCACCTCGCGGAACTGGATGCCGCGGTTGAGGCGCGGGATGAGGAGGCCCAGCGTCATCTCCTTGACCGTCACCAGCTGCTTGGTCACCAGGTTGCGGTACTCTTCCGAGACCTGCCCGTCGATTGTGGGCAGCACCGTGATCTTGCTATGCGTGATCCAGCTCAGAATCCTGGGCCCAATCAGACCAATATTGACGTAGTGAAACAGCTCCGACGGCAGCTGCAGGCCAAGGTACTCGTGGTTGTCCTTGGTCAGCTTGTCAAAATCGTTGACCTTGACCTCACCGTCCTCAGCAATGTATATGAAATGGGCCACGGCCATCTTGGCCTTGTGATACTTGTCGAGCCAGTAGGGATCGTGAGACTTGAGCACGTCGCTGAACGAGTGGCAGGCCGCGGCCACCGACTTGTCAGACGCTCGCAGGATGTTAACAGCGTCCACAAGGTGCTGCCGACGCGTCGTCGAGAGGCCGCTGTGGTCCAGCAGCGAAGGGAAGGGGGGCAGGAACGACGTGCCAACCATGAGGAGACCGTCGGCGAACGTATTCTCTTCGACCGCAAGCTGCTTGATGATTTGCTTTTTGGAGATGGCCTTGACTTGCTTGTTGGTCCAGTCCAGCTCCCGGATCACGCTGTCCTTGATGGGATAGAGAAGAAGCTCCTGGGGGCCCATGATTCCACCGCACTGGTCCGAGTCAATCATGTCGAGATACGCGATCTGAAGGAGACTTGATTAGGTTTTGGTCGTTGGAGAGAGTGAGTGGGAGAGCATACCTGGGCTGCAGCATTGAAGGGGGGCACCAGGAAGTGTAGGCCCCGGCGCTTCAGGATGCCCTGCAGCATCGGATAGAGAGTCTGCGGACGGAAGGCTCCTATATCGAAGTTAGCATCTGATGGGCTGCCAAGACTAGGCCGCCTCGGAATAGTGCCCTGGGTGCCCCGGGTCCCCCGAGTGCCCCTGGCTAGCCGCCGCCATGCAGGAGAGAAAGCGATCATACCATTGTGATTGCCAAAGGAATCAACAGCCTCCTGAGCCTGACCGTTCACATACAACTCCCAGGCGTGGTTGGACTGTTCGATGGCGCGGCGGGCACGCCGGATAAAAACCTCATCCTGACCTGTGATAGACTGGCCGTCAAAGACGAAGAGCGGGGTGACCTTGTGCTCCTCCCATTGGGCCAGGTCGCTGTCTATGTGATTGTGCACACCAGTGAGTCCACCCAGCGCAGTCAGGAGGGGTTCTCGGCTCGGCGGGTTCGTCAGCATGCGTTGCAGGTAGTAGGTAGCGTCGACGGCGATGGCACAATCCGCGAGCTCGGCAATGTTGTGAGACCTGCAGGGAACGAAGAGATGTATGGTTAGCAAGAGGCCAGTATCAGAAGACTGCATTAGAAGACGTATTAGAAGAGGGCTAGACACATACGTCGCCTGTCCGTTGATGTAATCATCCTCGACGAGGCAGGCTGCATTCGTGGGTTTCGAGGTTAGCGAGTCGGGCAGCGACAACATGTCGTCTCCTTCAAAAGGCATCTCGCGTCCGCCGCCGTATGCGTATGGGTGCAGGTGAAGGTGCTGCGGGCCGATCCAGAGCCTGTCCGGCGCCATGGCGCCATGGGGCACCATTGCAATAGTAGCCATCATGCCAGCCTTTGCGCGGACAGGAAAGCGGGCAGCGGAAGAGAGAAAGATAGGGGTGATGACAAGATCAAAACTATCCTTGCTCGTCCTTGGTCTAGGGTTGTCGGTGGTGTGGGCGCGAAGATACGAGGCCAAATCTGTAGTACAATGGTCCAAGGCAGAGACGGGACGGAGGATTGGGTGACGGGCTGCGCGGCGTGGAGTTGGCAGGTGCCTTGGTGGACGAGAGGGAGAGTTTGGCAGGGGTGAGGGTTGCGATGAGAGTCGTGGGCGGAATAAAGCTCCCGGCAAGCTCGGACAGCTGGCGGCAGGCGCAGGCCGAGGGACCGTCGGACAGTTGAGTCGCACACAGCACGACGAATGTGTCTGGGATGGGCAGGCTGAGGCTCAGTCCAATGTGGGAAGGCGGCGGAAGGAACGACGTGGCTTGCGACGGTCGAGCCTGGCGGATCTGGGGCGCAGGTAGGCAGGTTTCCGGCTTGGGCGGGATCGGGCGAACAGACGGGATTGCTTGGTCTGACGAGGTCGGACGGCACGGCGACGGGCAGAAGCCCGGGCAGAGAGCATGGTGCTCGGCCGGCAGCAGCGACAGAACGCAGGAGCTCGCTCCCACACGGCCTCGGCGGACGGACGGCGGACGCACCAGGGGAAACAGGACAGCAACTCACAAGGCATCTTGACGGCGTCTACAGCAAGCTCAACCTAGCCTCCAAAAGTCTGACCACCAGCACAGCCCTCCGACAGGAACAGCGACTTGGACTACTTCTCCGCAGCAGCTATACGCGCGCGCGCGCACAACGGGGGACGGATGGGGGGTCGCGTGTAGTCGCTGTGGTGCTGGGCTGCAAAGGCGGTAGGTGCGGTGCGTGCACCTAGCTCGCGCGCGAGATGGTGTGGCGTCAGGTGCGGTGTCGAGTGCTGGCAGGGGAGCACAGGGAACGCCGGGCGCCGTGGTCGGGACGGAAGGTGGGCGACAGAAAAAAGAGGAAGGAAAAAATTAATGATGTTACACGGGCTAGAAATGCCGAGAACAGGCACACGACGACGAGGGCAAAACAACAGGCGATGCCAGAATGAACGACTCGGAGCTTGTCATGGCACGTAGGAGAGGAAGACGCAAGAAAAAAGAAAGCCGGGCAGCGCGGGAGCCGGAGCGGTTTCGCAGGCCCGTCGTCTCTTTTATCCTGCCCGAGAGGAGTCGCAAGGGGGGGGGTTTGTCTTCGGGGCGGGGGAGGAGGGAGGTTGCGCGGGAAAGGCCGAGTCGAGGCTCGTTTCGTGGCCCTGGTTGACTGGTCCTGATTCTGTCCTCCCACATCCAATTCCTCCCGTTTTTTGACGCACGCACTGAAAGCCAGCTGGAGCTCTGCCGTTGACGCCTGAATTGGCGCGCACTACCACATTGGCGGGGCCAATTGAGCTGGATTTTGTAGTTCCCTGTGCGCTGTGGCTTGGGTCGCGTGGCTTTGTGGCTGATACTCGTCATATGGCGTGGGCACCCCTGTCGGCGATCACAGTCGACCGCACTTTCCCCTGGCCTTGTGCTTCCACGTCATGTTTCCTACGTCTTTTACAGGTAATTACCGTTTTAACATCAAGTCAATACCTACACCCTTCACCCGTGTCCGCATAATGCAAGTGCAAAGGCGGCAAGTCGCCAACGACCTGCAGAAAAGATGCCCCGCTAACCACAACCCCAGATAAATTCCAACGCTAGTCCGATGCCATAACCTAACCCCACATTGGTGCTTTAAACCGAGAAGCCTTCCGAAAGAATTCGAGAGAAAAGACGCGGACGGCCTTGTTTACCAACCCAAGCCGGCGCGCCTGATGCGCTCAGGGACGTTTTCGAGCGTCGCCGATTTCCGCTCCTTCTTCCTCTTCCCCTCCTTTAAAATCTTGTCGAGGAGGTTCCTATATGAAAAATTGGTTAGCAGGTAGTACTTCACTATGCCCCGAGATATTATGGTTAAAGATACTTACTGGATGGGCAACCCATTCAGCCTGCCCTCCTGCTCAGCCTGCATTGCACGCACTCCCTTGGCCGAAGTGTGCTCCCGCATGTGCTGCAGCACGAGCTGCCTCTGCTCCGGGTCCAGCGCTGACCGCACCACGTGCCCACAGCCGTCCTCCTCGCACACCCACGTGCCCCGCGGGCCCTTAGGCTTGTCCGTTTGCATGGGATACGATTTGAGCACGATTTTGGAAACGTTGTTGCCTTTGGCAACACTGCCCGTGTCTGAGGTTTCCGAATCGTCGCTGCTTGCCTGCCGAGCTCGAGGCGTTGCTCGTTTCCTAGCGGCCTCCTTTGCGTAGCTCGCGCGGTTGTCGGCCTCGCTACTCTCGTAGCTGCCTTCGTCCTCGAATGGCCGCTTTCTAGAGGCTAATCGCAGTGCCGGCACTTTTCCAGCATGTTGTGGTCGCGGCGCGTCGGGCTGGGTATGGGACGGTGGGGTTAATACGGCTGGCGATTCGGAGCCGGTGTTGGCCTGCTTCGACGCCGCTTTTACGCGGCGGAAGAGTCGGTAGGGAATTTCCTCGAGACTGATGTGCTCCAAATGTGTTGGCGGAGACGCGGCTTCTTGTTCCAGCCAGGCCCAAAATGGGCTTGCTCCAAACTTATGCCGATCCAGCAATCTGAGCAGGTCAGGCGCATAAAGCGATAGTAGTTCCGCGCCGCACTTGTGCTCGGTGTGCTTGAGCCTGCATTTCATGTAAATGCTGGAAGCATATTTCGAATGCTTGTGCTTGTGTATGTTGCCGGCCGCGTCCGCCACCTCATTGATCAAGTCGGCAAAGAATGGACCTCCTTCTGGTGGACGGCGAGATGCGAAGGACGATGTTTGTGGTGCATGCCCGGGAGGGTTGGGGGATGAACTTTGGCTGTTGCTTGTTCTCGGCGTCGCTTTTTGCTCTTCCTCGCCCTGATCTTCAGTCTCGTCGTCCTCCATCATCTCGTCACCCGACTGCTTTTCAGCCTGAGCCTGAGTGGCCGGGGTAGTTGTCTCCGTGTTGGCTGTGAAAACGCCATTTCTAATGGCCTTCGCTTGAGCCCTGTTCAGCTCTTCCTGCCGGTGGGGGTGACGCAGTTTCATGTAGGTGACAAAGCTACACTCGCCCCAGTCGAAATTCTCTTTCCGCTCTTTGGAAAACTGGTCGAGCAGAAACAGGACGTGGTCGTCGCAGCGCTGCTCGACCTCGGGAAAGAGAACACCGTCGCCAACGCGGCGAGCGTATCCCAAGAAGACATCGCGTATGTTGGCCTTCTTCATGATACTGGCCCGCTTGGTTCCTGTTTTGGAGCCGACCAGATTGTTGTACGAGTCTTGGATGCGGTAATAGAGAGTGATGCCTTCCATCATCTTATCGAATATGGGTCTGTACTCGCGCGCCGGTGTGATCTCCATCCAGCCAGATTCACCCATGATCCAAACTGAAGGGCAAGGGTTGCCCTGGTAGTCGAAGCCAATAGAATATTGGGTGCTCTTCGACACCTCGATGTACACACTGTCGAGCTTAGGGTTGAGTACTATTGAACAGCCACCCACATGGCAGACTTAGCACATATTTCGCGGTCAAGGGCAGGCGACAAGGGACGTACGACGACGGCGGTGCCTCGGCGCGTTAACAACCAGTTTTCCGCGGACGACAAACGGGCCGTGTGCCGTCATTTCCAGCACGTTGGCCATGGTTGTGCCGTCCATCTTAAAGACGGCAGCCTCCTCGAGTACAGGATCAGTCGTTTCTTCGTTGTCCTCACCGAACTCGGGGTCCAGACGATGGAGGACCCTCAACTCGGGTTGGTACAGTGTCCTGGTGGACGCGGCCGCCCGCCGACGCCTACCGGCCATAGTTGCCGAGGGCGGTGCGGAAAGTGTGATTGCAGGCTACCTAGGTATGTGATGGCAGGGTAGACAAGAGGAGAGCCGGCAGTCTGGCGAAAACAAGTGGTTGGCGTGAAGCTCTACCGCTATCTGAGCGAGGGAGGGGTGACGCGATTGTGGATTGTGGTGGTGTCGTCTCCCTCAATTAAGCAACGCGTTGGAAATGGATTGTTGAAGCTCCACTGGTATGGCGGGGCTACTGTTAGCGGCTGCCCGTCCCACACTTGAGTACCCCAAGTGGGGGCTGCAGGGGTGCGAGCCAGGGACAATGGGAGTTGGCGAAGCTTGCCTGGATGCATGAAAGAAAAAAAGAAAAAAAGAAAGAAAAAAAGGACGGGGTCGATCGAGGCTCGAGACATCCCTCCCACTTGATCCCCTCCTTCCCCTCAGCCCATCACGCCCGCCGGCTTTTAGGCTTCTCCTTAGTTTTGACGGGTGAATGAAGCGCGCGATCGGCAACCTTGCGGTCCAGATGGCGCAGGCAACGGGTCTCGATGGCGTCTTTGGTATGTTCGCAGCGTCGAGAGAAAACCCCGTCGCACTTGTCGCGCCAGCCCATGCGACCAACCCGCGCCCGCGCTGTCCAACACAGCTAACACTGACGCGACGGCGCGCTCCAACTCCCAGCCATAAACAAGCCAATGGGCATGTCGTCGGCCCAGGTCATCCGCGACTGCCAGTCCTACTTCAACCCCTCGCGCCTGTTCAAGCCCGCGCTCGAGCGGGAGGAGGAGGAGCGGCGGGCGCAGGCGGCTAGGGACCGCAAGCGCCGCAGCAAGGCCAAGCAGAAGGTGCAGGTCAAGATGGGCCACGGCGGCACGCTGGACCCGCTGGCCACGGGCGTGCTGATCCTGGGCGTCGGCCGCGGCACCAAGTCGCTGCAGAACTTCCTCGAGTGCACAAAGACGTACGAGACGGTGGTGCTGTTCGGCGCCTCTACCGATACATACGACCGCGTCGGCCGCATCCTGCAGCGCCGCTCCTACGATGATGTCACGCGCGACAAGGTTGAGGCCGCCCTTGGCTCGTTCCGCGGCCGCTACCGCCAGATGCCGCCGCTGTACAGCGCCCTCAAGATGAACGGAAAGCCCCTGTACGAGTACGCCCGCGAGGGCAAGCCCATCCCGCGAGAGATCGAGACGCGCGAGGTGGAGGTGACGGATCTGGAGCTGGTCGAGTGGTACGAGCCGGGATCGCACCCGCACCGCTGGCCCGCCGAGGAGGCCGGCATCGCCGAGAAGAGCCTCGCCGAGCGCGTATGGTCGGCCGAGCAGGAGCAGACTACGGGCAAGAAACTCACGCCGGAGCAGGAGCAGGAGGAAGACCGCGCCTTTGCCGCACACCAGTCGTTCAAGGAAAAGGCCGAGGAGCGGCAGGACAAGCTCATCTTTGACAAGCAGACGGGCCGGAAACGCAAGGCCGACGGCTCCGACCAGCCGCTCAGCAAGAAGCAGATGAAGCGGGAGCAGAGGGCGGCGCAGCGGGGCGCCGGCCACCAGAGACCCGAGCCCATGATGTCGGGCGCCCTCGGAGAGCTGCCGCCGGGCGGGCCGCCCAAGGGGCGTGGGTCGGACCTGGTCCCGAAGGCGCCCGCGGCCGACGCGCCGCCGCCATGGTCTGACAAGGGCCCGCCGGCCTGTAGGGTGCGCATGACCGTCACCTCGGGCTTCTACGTCCGCAGCTTCTGCCACGAGCTTGGCGAGAAGGTCGGCTCGGCCGCCATGATGGCTGAGCTGGAGCGCTCGCGGCAGGGCGACTACGTCCTCGGCAAGGACAACTGCATAGAGTATGACGTCTTGGCCAAGGGGGAGCCCGTCTGGGGGCCCCACGTCGAAAGGATCCTGCACACATGGTCCTCGACGCACCTGCCCAACGTGGGCGCGCTCAAGAGCATTTACGGCGACGCCGAGGCGGTCAAATCCGAAATGGCAAACCCAACAGCAGAAGCCGAGGCAGCGAAGGAGCCCAAGAATGGTGTGACTTGTGACGATGAGGAGTGGACCGGGATTTCCGACGCAGCCGCTCCTGCCGAGACCAAGGCTGAAGAGAAGGCAGCCCCATGATCCGAAAAGGATTCGCCCGAAAGAGATGAAGGAGTTTGTGGAGGCCGTCACTCGAAAAAAGGCATGGGAGGGGGTTGCGGGCTGCTTACTCCGCTAGCCATGGACGCCGTTCAGGGTCCGGCGATCCCCCACCAGCTTTTGACAGATGTCTCGGCAGCTCACGGTTTGAAGATAGCATAGCGCCGGCGTTTATTCATGCAGTTTTATTTTTGTTCTTTTGTTTTGTGTCTTTGCCCTCTCGCGGTATCTACGTCCCAAGTCTCCCTTGACATGTGTTTGCCTGTTTGATAAGTAGATATTATAGCCCACAATTAGAGTTTATGTAGACACAATTCCCTGCCGCCCTTGTGCGCCTGCCGATATTCCCAGTCTGTAAATAGATGCCCATTCTGGTCTTCATGTCCATGTCGTCCCAACTTCCATGTCCTTCCCTGATCATGTTTGCAATGCTGGTGCGGTGGCAGCCACAGACAGAGCAGGGATTCTCCCAAGCCTTTGTGGTAGATATGATGAACCATCATCCATGCAAAGTCCGGCCAATTCCAGTCCCTTGACAGCTTCCAATATTTTCCATGTGCCCCTTTCCAAGCGCCCGAGAGTGGTTGATAAACAAAGGAGATGGCAAGATATGCAGGTAGATGGAAAGAAGAGAGGGTATCTAGCTGTAAAGAAAGCAAAAGAAAAAAAGACGAGAGAAAAAAAAGAGACATTCAATTTCCATGCAGTCCATTAGATCTCCTCGGCGAGCAGCTCCTTGACGCGCTCGATCCTCTCGACGGCCAGCTCTAACCTCTCGAGCCGGTTCCGCTTCTCCTCGTCGCGGCGGTGCAGCATGGCGTTGCGCTCCTCGAGCTCCTCGATGCGCGCCTCGAGCCGCTGTCTCGTCTCGTCGTCCCTGACCTTCAGCTCCCTGCTCTGGCTCTCGAGCAGGACGTTGCGCTCGGCCAGGCCGGCAGCGCGGCCCTCGAGCTCGGCGCCGGCCTGCTCCAGCTCGGCGACGCGGCCCTCGAGCTCGGCGTTGCGGGCCTCGAGCCCGACCACGCGCCCCTCGAGCGCGGCCTTGTCGCGGCGCTCCGTGGCCACCATCTCGTTGGCCTCCTCGAACAGGCTCGCGCTCAGCTCCTCGACCTCGCGGCTGGCGTCGAGCTCGCGCGCCTCGGCGGCCGCGCGCAGCTGCTGCTCGCGCGTCAGCGCCACCAGCAGCTCCTCGAGCGTCGCGTCGCCGTCCTTGCGCCGGTGCTCCTCCTTGCTGAGCGCCACCAGCAGCCTGTCCGCCATGGGGTCCGTGGGCGAGCGCTGCATGGCCGGTTTTGCAGCTAGTGTGTTGTTGCTGCTGCCGTTCCCGCCCCACAAGGAGCCAACCAGGCTTGCTGCCGAGGACGACGCCGGCACGGCGGCGGCGGCGGCGGCCGTCGAGTTGCGCAGGGCGCGCCGCAGCTTGCCGAGCTCCTCCTCGTAGCTGGCGCGCTTCTCGACGTCCTCGAACGCCTTCTCCGTCAGCCGCCGCACCTGCGTCTGCAGGTCGCCGATCTGCGCCTTGGCGTCGGCCAGCACGGCGCTGCAGCGGCCGCCCGCGCATGTTGTCGGCGACGTGGCGGATACAGGCGAGGACGCGGTCGACGACGCGGGCGTGTCGAAGCCGCACTTGGGGCAGCAGCTGCTACTGCTGGCCTCGGAGGCGGTGGGCGAGGTCGAGGCGGACGAGTACGAGGGGGAGTGCAGGGGCGACGACCTCGCTGCCGTCGTGGTAGTGGTAATAGTACCACCACCTGTAGATAACCGCGAGGCCGAGACGGACAGCGTCGAGACGCCCGGCGGGCGGACGCGCTGCTGCGGCTCAAGGCCGTCGAATAGCCTCTCGCGGCGCGGGAACTGCTGTTGCGGCTTGTACTGCGGGCGGAAGCCCGAGGAGGCGCCCATCATGGCGGGCCTCCCGGGCCCCGAGCCCGCTGCCGCCGGTGACGACGAGGCCGTCAAGTTTGTGATTGTGATGGCCTTGGCGGACATGTGCCGCCTTCTTCACTCTCTGCTGCCTTGTTCTTTTTCGGGCTTGAGGGTGCAGCTATTCGTGTAGCTGCTGCGTGATGCTGATGCTAATGGGCGGGCTGTGTGTGCACAAAGGTAGAGAGCGTGGGTGGGACTGGCCTGGGTCGTAGTAAAAGAGAGCAAGGGGTGCTGACTGTGGTGGTGTCAAGTAGAGTAAGACTCGGGCTATTACTGCGACTGCGATGGCTTTTGTCCAACGTCTGGATGGAAAAAAAGAGATATCTCTAAACGATGGAAGGGTTTCCTATGGCTGGGAAATGTGATGTGAGTTAATTTGGATTAGCGCTTGGCTTGTAGTTTTGTCTGCAAAAGAATGGGTTGGTTCTTGTTCGGTGACGAGCTCTCCAGGTGAAGGCAGAGGGAACGAGATCAATGATGCTGACAAGGACGGGGTCCACCAGGGCCTTTTATTCAGCTCGAACGGCGTGGCAAACTAGCCGCTGCAGTAGCCAAAGTGTGCCCTACAGCTAGCATCAATTCCAATGGGATCGAATGGCCACGCGATGGTGGTATCCAGCGCAAGCAAACCCCATCGTACGGATTGCTAAAATCGAATCCTACCAAAAAAGCCCCCGGCCCACGCCATCCTGGTGCAGGGATCGGGCGGGTTGGCTCGGTCCAGGCGGCGTGCTTTGGTTGGTTCTAGGCCCCCCCTAGCCTGTGCGTGACTCCCGGTCCCGCCTAGGCCGGCATTGAGGATCATTGATGCTATTTCTAGGCAGACACCCCAGCCCTAGCGGCGGCTCCCTACCCGCCCTAAAATGCCCACCTCGGGGCCAGCTGGCGAACCACCCCAACCGCCACTTCCTGGCCCCCACCCCCTCCTTTTCGGGCAGGCGAAGCGGGCAGAAAGGAATGAAATATTGCTGTACGATAGTGTTTTGCTGCCTTTGCCGGTCCCGGCTGTTGTTCCACCCGACGAGCCCGCAGGACCGGGCTCGTGGACCTCGTAGACGATGGGCTGTGCACTGCGCTTGTTGGGAAGCGTTAGGAACAGGGCGGGCGCCAAACAAGCTCTCGGGCTCGAGGGCAGTCCTTGTGGTCGTCGGAGCCCAACCCATATTTCCAGATTCACCACCCCCGAGCTCGTGGGCGCGCTGAAACTATGGGCAGCATGTTCATCTGGATATAACAGGAAGGCATGCTGGAACGATGGCTGCCGGGTTGCGCGCCTTCGTGAGCCCCGAAAAATGATCCGACGAACCCATGAGAGCCACCCAGTAGAGGATCGATCCGTTTTCCTTGTCCTTTTACACAATCGAGACAGCAATCTCCAGCAGTCTCGTCTAAAGATTCCATCCAGTCTCATTTACGTACGTGTTGCTTTTGGCTGCCGCTCCAGGACATGCTTTGCCCATCACCATATTCGACTCCTGACTCTGTCAACGACTTGGACCTGACGCATCCTCGGGGAATTGGTGGCAGACCCCCCC